TCTGCAAAACTACTTTGTGGTTTAAGAGGGACCTTAAAAAATTCTGAAGAAAAAATTATAAACAATGATATTGAGTGTGAAGTTGAAAGTCAAGACAGAACTGGCCAAAGAGCTTTGACTACTAACATTAACAGACTTCTTACTATTATATGCAGAAAAGTTAGAATAGGATTATGCTCTGTGATTTCAGAATTGACTAAGAGGCTTCCACTGCTCCTTCTGAGAAACAGTGTCACTGGCAACCACATTGTATCTTCACGTGGTTATCTGATTGCATTTAGCCTCTTTTTTCTTACATGAATCTAGCCCTGGGATCTGTATTTGGGAATCTCCACTAAAAATTCAAAGAACAAAGGAGTTGCTTCTTGAAACTTAAATATCTTCTCATTGGTCAAAGACTTACTATTTTCCACTATTTTGTATCTCATGTGTATTACGCTGTTGACTTAGATTTTAAAGCCTTCGGTAACAATGTTGGGTGCTCAATTCATAAAAACATTAGTAGAACCTATGAATGAGTCACTATTCATAATCTCTAATTGCTCATAGTATAATAATGAACCCCCTGTAGATAAACTATTAATAAGTCCTAATTAATAAGAAATTATCCTTTTTTGGGAAAAGTTGAAATTTTCTGTTTTCTGACAATAAATTCTTTACATTTCCTTGGCAATTTGCAGTTCACATAGTGCTTTCACATATATTATCATGTTTGAGCTTTTAATTATCAATCTAAAACTGATATAACCTAGAACTGATTATATAATTGCTACGCAAATTATAGAAAAGGGTTAAAGAAATGTAAATATCCATTTGTCACCTGTTAGTTCATTTTGATATAAGTGCTAAACTACACTGATAGAATTGTAATTGTAGACAATACAGAAAATATTTTTTTTCCTCTGGGTTATTTGAGTTAAACAATGTATAGTCTAAATGAGTTGGTAGAATGAAGAAATTCTGGAAATTTCTTCTTCTGTTCTCATTTCCACTATTTTCATGAAGTTGCTGAGTTCTTTACGACCATTTTGGTTTGCTTAGAAATCTTGTTAGGAGATTATGGAAACTTACCCTGGCAGATAACAAACTCTAGCAAGCACTGTTTTAAAAAAAATATACTTTTTATTTAGAACAATTTTATATTTACAGAATTATTGTGAAGATAACAAAGAGAGTTGCATCCAGTTTCCCTTATTATTAACATCTGATATTAGTATAGTATATTTATTACAACCAATGAACCATATTGATACATTATTAGTCACTGAAGTCTATACTTTGTTCAGATTTCTTTAGTTTTTAACTCATATCCTTTTTCTTTCCCAGGAACCCATCTAAGACAACACATTACACGTAGTCTTCATGTCTCCTTAGGCTCCTCTAGGTGTGATAGTTTCTCAGACTTTCCTTGGTTTTATATGAACTCGACAATTTTGAGGGGTGCTGGTCAGGTATTTTGTAGAATGTCCCTCAACTGGAATTTGTCTAATGTTTTCCTCTTGATTAATCTGGGGTTATGGTTTTCTGGAGGAAGATCACAGAGGTAAAGTGCCATTTTCATCACCATATCAAGGGTAACTACTATCAACGTGATTTATCCCTGTTGATGTTGACCCTAACCACCTCACTGAGGAAGTGTTTGTCAGGTGTATCCACTGTAAAGTTACTTTTTCCCCCCTTTCGATATTGTACTCTTTGGAAGGAAGTCACTATGCTCATTCCACACTTAACGAGTCGGGGGTTATGCTCCACTTCCTTGAGGGTGGAGGAATTATGTAAAGTATTTGATCTGGTAGTATTTTAAATTGGAAAAAGCTGGGAAGATTTCATGGGCCAAAGAAGTCATAAACAGGAAAGAGGAGAAAGATGAGGAAATCCTAAGGTGTGAGGTGGGGTCACACTCCTCAACAGGGGTAAAGCCTCATCACTTGAGACACATTCCATTCAACTTTTCTGGGCCCATCCAGTTCCTCTGGGAAAGTGAAGCATTCGAACATTGGAGATTATATTGAAGTCCAGAATCCTTTTACTTTTCTCCTGGAATCATCTCATGAATATATTACTTCATTCACTGCCAATGCTTATCCTATAATAATAAAGTTCTGGTCTTAAAAATATGTAAAGTGGTTTCCAGGCAGAATTCAGTATGTTTTCTTGGGAGTGGATACCAGAGGATATGTGATGGGAAGAGGTGCTATCTCTCATTTATGCAGGAGTAAAATGAGGTAGTGAGTAAGTGATTTGCTAAAGATCTTCATAATCAGTGATTTTTATCTTCATCATTCAACTAAAAGTGCTATCTCAAAACTCTCCAAAGATTTATATGTTGTCAGATACAATGTCCTTTCTCCTTCCTTATTCTCCTTTTCTTTATATTGCATTTGACTTGGTTAACTACCCCCTGGTATTGGATTGCTATTGCTGTGTAACAAACCATCCCCAAAGTCAGTGGCTTAAAAAAGCAATCATTTATTATTGCTCATGCATCTGTGGGGCACCTGGAGTTTATCTAGACTGGTTTTAGCTGAATGGCTCTGCTCCTTATGACGATCTGCTAATTGGCTGGGGAGTCACTGGTTTGTGTGTTTCTCATTCTTCTTTTCAGTCCAGCATATTAGCTGTTGCATGTTTTTAGCAAGGCAATGGCAGAAGACAAGAGAACAAGTAGTAACATCTGCAGTGTTTAAGAACTAGGCTTACAATTAGCATGTTGTCACTTTTGTCACATGCCATCAGTTAAAGCAAGTCACAAGGCTAAGTGGCAGGAAATATTCTATTGTCAATGAGGTCAACATATAGCTGATGTGTGGATGCTCAGATAAGTGAAGAACTGGGATCAGTAATGCAATCTCTTATACTCTTACTTCTTGAAACACTCTTTCCCACCTGTTTTTTCAAAACAAAATACTATTTTGATCCTCTCACCTTTTTTTCCCTTAATTCTTCTTCCTTCAACCTCAGTACTGTAAGTAGGTTTTACCTAAGGCTTAGTCTTTCAGTCCTTATTTTTCTCCATGTTTGTGCTCTTCCTAAGAAAGCTTATCCAGTATTAGATGCTCTAATTCCCTATGGTCATTTCCAGTCTTCCATTGAGCATTTCCATATTTCCATTTGGAACTGCCTAAACTCATAATCTTTGGTCCCATGTTCCACTTAAATCAATGTTTCTTCCCAATATGAAGCTGTATCTCTAAAAAAGACTTGGGTTTTTATATCATGTTTGTTGTGAATGAAAAAAAAAAAAACAAACAAAGCCCTAATGAGAGCTTATCCTACATTAACAAGAATTTGACATCTCTAAAGGTTAAAGGAATTTATCTGAAAGAAAATAAGGATAAGAAGAGTATTAAAAACCACTTCCTATGAGAAGTGGTTAAAGTTACTAATAATTTTTTTTAATCTAGAGATTATATAGGGTTTCATGACTTCCATGTTTACATAATTGCAAGTGTGTGGTGTGGGAAGACCTGAGGTTTTTTATTTGTAGCAAAACTACACCCAATGCGTGGATTTGGGGAGCAAAATTTTAGTTTGATATAAGGAGGAAAGTTTTAGTAAGAATAACTGCACAGAAACAGAATGAAGTGATATATTTATTTTTCACTTTTGTTACTCCTCTCTCCTGAAATGTCTTACTCCCCATTCTCCCAATTATCCATCAAAATCCTATCCATCCTTCAAGGCTTATTCCATGCCTTCATCCGTTCATAAATTCTTCTGTAACTACTAAAGTTTTATTAATCTCTTTCAAATCATGTTACTAATCTCCCACCCCACTTCAACTAAATTAAGGGCTCTTTGAAAGTAGAAATATGACATACTATTTTATCACTTCAGGTATGAAACACAATGCTGAGCTTATAACAGGCATTCAGTAAATTCTTACTTGTTTACTGCTCGATCACAGATTTCCTGAATTCTAATCTGGAATCATTAGATTTGGTTAGAATTTGAGCCAGATTGAAATGGTCAAGAATCTGAGCAGTTTACGCTGATTTCACAAGAGGATATGGCTTCTGATTTTAATGATAGCCTGAAGGAAGTAATAGTTTTGGCATAACTTGCCATCCAAGCTTATATTTTCCTACTTACCAAAAAAAAAAAAAAGAAAAATTCAATAAATTCAGTAATTTATAGATCCTTTAAGATCTTACATTTATAACTCAGATAATTTGTTGGGAGAATTACCAAAATGAATATGCCATCATTTTTTCATGTCTGAAAATTATTTAAAACAAAAATCAGCTGGTGAATGGGAATATATGACATTGGAGAAACACATGCAACACTGGAGAACTGTCGCTCTAGTTTGTATTCAGGTCTGCCTGTTGTCATAGTTACTGATGTACTCAAAGCAATTTCCTTCCAAAATCATACTCTGTACACCTTCAATGAAAATAAGCTATTCTTCTTGCTGTATTCTTCTCTATCCATGAATTGAAGCTAAAAAAAAGCGTCGATTGCAGCGTCAATTGTTTTCACACTTTTAGCGAGATTTTAAACTTATTTACAAAAGGAATAAGAAGTTTAATCAAAATAAGTGTCTACGATTAAGGTCTCACCTCATTTGTTCAGCAATGCTTCATTAAGTAGCTAGGTACTGAGGACTCAGTTATGATTATGGTCCAGTCGCTGCCCTAGAAGATATTAGAGCTCTGTGAGCGAGAAAGATGTGTAAGGGATGCATTTCAATGAAATGCAATCAGTGCTGTGGTGGAAGCAGAGCATAGAGACCCATGAACACAAAAGAGAGACACTTGGTAAAGTTTGAGGTGCTGGTGCAGTCAGATCAAAGAGATGCTTCCATCTAATTAGTCTCAAAGTATTGATCTATGAAATTTAGAAAATGTATGTCCTATCCCTTTGGGTACAGGACACTGATGTTACCCTGTAGGCTGGGCTCACAGAGCAGTGGAGCGAGGAGGCCAGCACTGTTACACACAAAGTGCCATCACCCACTAATACTCATGCACAGCCTCTCCTCTCTGCTCTGGCTGCAGGAACTCCTTCACAGACATCCTCCGTGCCATCCTGCTGTCATTGGAAGTCCTTATTGAAGATCCGGAGCTTCAGATAAATGGTTTCATTTTAATTATAGATTGGAGTAATTTTTCCTTCAAACAAGCCTCCAAACTGACACCTTCAATCCTCAAACTGGCCATTGAGGGGTTGCAGGTATGTTCAACAATTGTACAGTACAAGACTCTGTGTGACAATGTAGTTTTTTCTTATTGCAACCAAAGTAATATTCGTCTTTTAGAGTGGAAAAAGAAAACTTAGATAAAATTCACCTGTGAATACTCTGTATTTTTACTCAGCCTGAGTTTAGATGTTTGTTTTTTTAATTAGCTTTCGTTTTCATTAATAACTCTAAATTACTGTTACCACAGGCACAAATTACCTGCTGCAGCAATTACAAATAAAGCTCAGAGATGTTTAGCCCAACCCATCTGAGAGTTCGCAAAAATTAAATCTAGGAAACATCTTCTTTATGAGCATGTTCTATATAGAGGGGGGATGGGGGCTTTCCAGGGTCTCTGGAAGCATCTTTGCACTCCCAGAAATGCATCCTGCGGATCCTCATTTCCCAGAATGCAATGTGCAGGTCTTTGTACTAAAACAGATCACTTCAGTGTAAACAAAGGAAGCGATGAAACTCTGCTTCCTGTTTGTATGGCCACTTGTCAAAACTTTGGGAAGGGGTTTTTGTGCTGTGTGGAGGTTAGTCAGTCTCTTGAGGTCCCTTCTACTTTTAAGGACCAGCGATTCTGTGAAAACAAACTCAGAGAGCTGATGCTGCTTAGCTTCCTGGTAATACATTATTATAGGACAAAGGTAAAGGCAGGAGAAAGTCAAATACCGTATGATCTCACTCATAAATAGATGATAAAAACAGCAACAATCACGTAGAGACAGAGATGGGATTGGTGGTTACCAGAGGGGAAGTGGGGGAGGGAGGAGGGCGACAGAGCTGATTAGGCACACGTGTGTGGTGATGGATGATAATTAGTCTTTGGGTGGTAAACACGATGTAATCTACACAGAAATCAAAATATATGATGTACACCTGAAATTTATATAATGTTATAAATCAATGTTACTGCAATTAAGAAAACAACAGTAAAGGCAGAGTTCAGAAAGATTTAGAATCAGCATAGGTAAAACTCATGTCCCTTCTTAATTTTATAGGAAAATTGACTCAATGGAGTGACCCCTGCCTCTAGAGATGGCAGTTATATGCTGCTGTGCAAATAGAAAAATATTTGCTAATTCTCAGATCAAGCAGCGATTACTTAACGCTCTTCAGAGTGCAAGATGAGGAAACGCATTTCGGTCACTCATCATACTCTGGTGTGATGAGCCATTGGTGGGTCTGTTTCTTAAACTGTGGCTTATTCATATTTGGCCCTCAGCAAATATCTAGCACCTAGTGGGCCTCTGATAAACATGTGATTATTGGATGGATCTTAGTTTATTGAAAGAGCTCCTTATTTCAAGAGGAGGAAATGTAGAGCAGGCATTTCAGAAGAGGAGGAATAAATACACACTTTTCCAGGAATGCCACATTATCCTGTGTGGCCACATCATGCAGTGTATTGGGGGCATTTTTGAAGCAACATTTTTAAGTTGCTTTCGCATTTCTATCTGCATTCCTGCCTTGACTTAAAACTTCCAGTCACAGACTCATAGGTCCTTTACTATCAACCATTTTCTCTTAGCAGTAATTTCTTCACCATCCTCTCACCTAAGCCTCTGAAATTTGATCTCTCTCTCCTTAAAGCTGTTATCAAAGGGAGTTTTAAAGTAAGCTGCAAGGTTTATTTCGTGCCCTATAATTATGCTGACCATATTTCCAGGATTTTCTGTGGTAGTACAAGCTTCATTTAATTTTACCTTTTTTAAAAAAGATAATTCATTATATATTTAAGTAACTGTAATTCAAATTTTATGTATTTGTAAGTTTTCTTCATAAGTCGGGAAGGAAAATGTCCTTTATCCAACCCTGTGTTCCAATTTTTCTTTCTGAAAACTTGTGGATTATACATTACGTCCTTTGCCAACTTCACTAGGCTGGTGTGGGTCTTACCAAGTTAACGCACATGAATGTGTTTTAAAAGGTAAAGCTATAAATATTCTTGTAGGCTACTTTTATAAGAAATACTACATGACCTTTTGTGGGGCAAGGTAGGTCACATCTTGGCCTTCAATTTTCACGTACGAGGCTCCAGGATGAATTTTGCAATGTACTACCCCTCCAGTTAAGGAATAGCCTCTATTGGGAGAGGGGGAGATGCATGAGGACAGGGTCAGACTGGAGAAAAGGTACACCCTCCAGTCATCTCACAGAGCAATGGCCTGGCTATATAAAGCGAGATAAACTCCCTTTACTGTGGGAAAGCATCAGGCCATGCTGGAGTCAGGCTCTCTGAATTGAGATGCAGCTTTTTCTGCAAACTCTACCTGCCCAGGCCTTGAAGACCTGGGAGCCCTTGGAAAGCTGTAGTTCTCCTACCAGGAGAAGGAAGCCAGTGATCCCAGGGGAGTCTGAGCTTGGGTGCAGCTCCTCCATCTAGGATACAGACTTCCTGTACCATTTAGTTTGTTGTCTTGGCAACTGTGAAGAAGCCCACAGGTCACTGCAGACAGTTCTGCTCTTGCCCCACAGTGGGTAGTCAGCTCTGGCCAGCTGCTGGCAACTTCTCACTCCAGGCTATCCTCTCTCAGGCTTTGGGGACGTTCAGATACCATGGTCACCCCACCACTGGCTGTCCTAGTGACCTTTCTTCATTGCAGGGATTGTTTTCATCCCTAGTGTAGCCATTAACCCTTTTTGATGTTTTAAAATAGTGATAATTGGTACTAAGCAGAATTCATGCCTTTGTGGTCACACTGTTGTACAAGGAGGGTCTCATCCAGATCTTCATTTTTCAGCCATGAAGATTCAAGATAAATTTCGTGATACCACTGGCATGGGTGAAGGCATAGACTTTAGTGGAGAAAAGGAAAGCTATATAAAGTCAGTGTCAGTGAGAGAAGAGAAGCCACTGCTCTTCCTTCCTCCTCTGCTCCCTCAGAGAGGCCTGAAGAGGTCTGGTGTCTGCCTACATGTGAGACATTGCAGGGGAGGGAGGTTCTTTGTCTAGTGAAGAGAACGTGCTGTCTCTCCTCTCATGCCTTTTATAGGGTAGATGTGACAAAGTCGCCTTGTCAAGGGGAATAATCTGACCACTTTTGTGCTAGGCCATTTGGTTTGGGGTTTAAGCTGCTTATAGGTGTTATCTAGTATTACCTGCTGCTCACCCTCCTGAGAATTTGGGGCCCTGGGATATGACAGCTCCTCTCCCCCACTAGGTAATACAACAACTCCCGCAGAGAGAAGGGGGTGGGTGCCCACTGTTCAGGCAGTGAGAATTTAGGGTCATTTTTGGTCAGTTCCATGCCTTGCATCACAACCTAGTTCCAGAACACTGAGTTTTAGCCCTATTACCTCTGTTATTAGTTCTCCATAAAGGCAGTCAGTCATTCAACAAGAACTTCTATTACTACTTGTTGCAGGTTCAGTTCTCCAGGGAGCAGATTCTGACACGGAGATTGGCATGCAGGAGATTTATTAGGCAGTGCTCTTGGGGTCAACACTCGTAGAAGGGAAGCCAAGGAAGAAAGTTTGCCAGCAGGAAAAGTTAAGCTGGGATTCAGTCATTTGCAGTGAAAGCCTCAGGTGTTCTGAAGCTGAGATGATCCTCAGAGTCATCCCTGATTGGGACCATGGGGCTGGGCCTTTGTAGTCTCACATTGTTCAGTCATTGTGTGCAGGCTTCCCGGGGGAGTGGTTGCGAGCTTGGACAAAGTGGTTCTCTTCAACTGGAGGTTCCCAAGGCACTGTTATTTGAGAACTCTCTCCTGGCCACATGCCAGCAACGGGGGAATAAATCCTCAGTTCTGAAGGAGGCCTGGAAGTATATCAGAATGTCTACTGCAATAAGCAAAAGATATCTGGAATATCCTATGATGTCATGTCAAGGATCTGCCTTTATTCTGAATCTGAATGTTTAACTGTTTTTTTCTTGGCTGCATACACTCCCAATTAATCCCAAAGTGGAAGTGATGCCAAGCAATAGAGATGGGCACTGGGCTAGCAACTTGGTGACAGTCCTCTATTTGGGCCTAGCAGTTGTGTTTCTATACTTCAAAAGGTAATTGTGTATATTCAACCGATCTTTGACAAAGGAGCAAAGGCAATACAAAGGAGCAAAGATAGTCTTTTCAAAAAATGGTGCTGGAACAACCAGATATCCACATGCAAAAAAGTGAATCTAGACACAGACTTTACACCCTTCACAAAAATTAACTCAAAATGGATTCCAAACCTGAATTTAAGATGCAAAACTATAAAACTCCTAGAATATAACGTAGAGAGAACCTATGTGACCTTGAGTAAAGTGATGACTTTTTAGATACAACACCAAAGGCACAATACAGAAAAGAAATAATTGATAAGCTGGACATCATTAGAATTAAAAACTTCTGCTATGCAAAAAATAATGTCAAGAAAATGAGAAGACAAGCCACAGACTAGGAGAAAATATTTGCAAAAAACATATCTGATAGAGGGCTGTTATCTATATACAAGGAACTCAAAATTCAACAATAAGTAAACAAACAATCCAATTAAAATATAGCCCGAAGATCTTAACAGACTCTTCACCAAAGAAGATAAACAGATGGCAAATGAGCATATGAATAGATGCTCCACATCATATGTCATCAGGAAAATGTAAATTAAAACAACAATGAATTACCACTGCATAACTAGCAGAATGGCCAAAATCCAGAACACTGACACCACCAAAAGCTGACAAGGACGTGGAGCAACAGGAACTCTCATTCATTACTGGTGAGAATGCAAAATGGTCCAGCCACTTGGAAGACAAATTTGGTGGTTTCTTACAAAGCTAAACATACTCTTGCCATATGATGCAGCAGCTGTGCTCCTTGGTATGTACCCAAAGGAGATGAAAACTTATGCACACCCAAATGTTTCCAGCAGCTTTATTTAGAATAACCAAGACTTGGAAACAACCAAGAAGTCCTTCAGTAGGTGAATGAATAGATAAACTGTGGTACATCCAGACAATGGAATATTATTATTCAGTGCTAAAAAGAAATGAGTTATA